AGGACCCTAAATTGTTTTATCTTAATGAAGGAAACGCGAAACGCTTAAGGCAAACGTCTCTGCAGTGCTTTTCCTGTTTGCACGCATTTCTACAGATCGAAAAGGGGGGCTTTGTAAATTCCTGGATTTCTAGGAGAGTATTCGTTCTCGTAAGGTCCAATCAGAGGTCTCGTGCCGAGGCGTGAAGTGTAATATTGTAATCGTGCGCTCGATACTCTTAGTCGATGCCACATCGCACTGTAAGCTGTGTTAGAATTCAGACTTGAACAAAAGAAGTAAAACTTTGAGGTTGTAACCTTCCGTTGTCAGAATCATGGGGAGCATTCACAAAAATGAACTGATGCGTAATGTCAAGTCATGAAATTTAAAATTTTGTAAGTATGGCTGTGACAGTTTCATTTATTAGTCAGTTTATGTACTGTTCACATGTATCACTGGGTGCAAACCAAAAGCTGAATCAGACTACGCACAAAAATAGAGTTTAAAAATAGAAACTCAGTATACCTTGAGTCTAAAGAGGCATTTTTAGGTGAGATTTCCACCCTCTATCGCAGATTTGAGCATCAGAGACATGACGGACAGCGAGAACTTGCGAATTGGGATGTGGTGTTATGGGAAAAACCCCTATATGTATACTATGAATTTTGGTGTACTAATCAGCTCAGGAGCGCTTGAATTACATCTGAAAACTCTAAAAGGCGACTTAATTCCGTTGGTTTCTTTGCTTATAAATCTATTTAGTTTTCTGTTTAACTGAGTTCAGGGTACACAACGCTACAAAGTCAGTCAACATCACTGGTGTGGGAGCAAGTGAGTTTCATAGTTAAAGCAGTAGCAGTAAAATAACTTAAAAACTGTTTTCTAAGCACATAAAATGCTCAAACCACATTTTTCGATCAAATGGGTCAAGTTCGAAATAAAGGCAAATTTTACAAAGAGCTCAACAAATGTTGTACCAACATTTACAACCGTCACCAAATTACATGAGTGTATAAATGGCACACAAGGGTTTTCTGGCGCAATGTTTTGTGGCTATTACGAATTATGCAAAAGCTGTTTTCGTAAGCTTTCGAACCTTTCAGAGACAGGCGAAAACGAGTATATTCTACTGTTCAACTTAATGATATTGCATAGGCATTAGGAGTGCTTATGATTTTTTCGCAGCTACAGCCAACTCCTCCAAATACATTTGACGGAAATTGATGACTGTTCATTACTTCAATCACTTCTATATTTCACTGAAACGTTTAAAACTCTATAGCTTTTCTATTGAAGTTTAATAAGTATAATAGCATGTGAACTCTGAGAAATACAGAACCGCCACTAGTGGCCATATTGGCAGCCGAAATTCACGCCCTTTTTCGTGTATCCATCTGCTTTGTTGAAAGTGATGTTGTGGTGTGACACTTAATTCTTTAGCGTAAAAGTTTATTACAATGTTTACCCATATGATTCGCCTTTTATCCACTGATCTCTCGGGTCAAGAAAAAACCGCATCACAATCGAGGAACCTATCTGTAGCAAAGCGAAACCCCACAAGCAAATTAAGCCATTCTCTCGGTAGCAGAAAATTTGAAAATTTGCTTTTCAGCAGAATGCTTCAGCTTTTTTTGAGTTTCAATTATAGCACCACGTAAGTGCTATCGTGAGACTAGTCTCGGCAAATGAGGCCTCTTCAGCTGTTCCTGCATCCGGATCAACA